ATAACATTCATACTTTATATTTTTAGCTCTGAGTTCTCTTGTAAGCTGTTGCATTTAATATTTTCTAAAAAGTCAACTTCAACAGTCATTCGCACCGGTGCCTTCAGTTCTACAGGCTCTCCTTGAAAGTCAACAAGTCTGAATTGCATGTCTTTCAAATTATGAGGACTAATGCGAACCCATTTACCTAAATGAGTTGCTATGACAGGAACGTTTGGAATGAACATTGAATTGACTGCATAACAGAAGGATTTATATTCTACTGAACCTTTACTATTAACTCCTGAAATGCCTGTGACATTAGCTATTTTAGACTCAATGTACAAACAATTATCATAACATACGTATGGAACAGATTTCATCTCAATCGTTTTGTCAACACTTTTCAAAGGAAATGTCATATGGTATGCACCCAAAAGAAGTTGTACTCTATGACTCATTCGTGTTATCTTAAACTCCTTCGCATAACTGAACTTCAAAACTCCTGCAATAAGTTTAACATTCATTAAGTTTTCTTCGTTATCCTTGTTTATTGTAGTATTTATGAGAGCATTTAACACTCCAGCTAATGTTTCCATCTTATATTCTACATTATTGTGAAATCTTATTTCGTGCTTCTTTCCATCTATTTCAATCTCCATGAAATCTGTTTCATCTGTTATAACGAATGAAGCGATAGTATTGAAGTCAACCATTCTGAATGCAAGCGCCTCATTCTGTAGACCTAAGTTTGTTTGTAGCTTTACTGTCCCGTATTCGTTTGGGTCTGTACTTTGCAAATAGAACAACATTTTATTCTCATTAAAATATGAGTATAGCTGCATATGCGTATGAAGCTGACAGAGCTAAACGTTTATATTTTGGTCAATACTCTCTCACACTTACTGACAAATATATTGTTATCACTGATGGAAATACTGAGAAATACATAACATGGAAGGACTATGAAAAGTTTGACCCTATTTTAACTCCATGTACTATGCCGTTTATAAAGGACGGTGAAATTATTGAAAAAGATAATACAACCGTATATAGGTCTGTTTATGAAGCATTAGAATATATGTTGAATCATAACCCAAAAAGATTTGACCCAAGCACTACACCATGTGCAATGCCTTTTATTAAGGACGGTGAAATCGTAAGAGTTCCGGATTCAACGGTTTACACAGCTGTTCAAAACAGTTTACAAAACATTTTAGCGAATATCTTTAATTCAGAAACTACAGAAATAAAATTACCATATATAACAGATGCTAAAGAAATTAAATCAAAAACGACAACATTATTTACGTCACTTAATGATTTAATGACTTATATCATTAATATTCCTGCACCAACTACAGCATTTGATCCAAACTCGACGGTTTGCAGTGTACCTTTCATAAATGACAGTTCATTAATTACTTTAAGGGATTCGACAGTAAATGAATCATTAAAGGCGTCATTAATGAAAATCATTGATTTTAACTCATTCACAAATACATATAATTCATTCATTAATGTTTCATATGCTTCTAAAGAAGGTGAGCCAAAAACTATCGATAAAGCGGTGTATGAAATAAAAGCATCAACGACAAAATTGAATTCGTTAACTTTTGACGGTGATAGTTTCGTTAATGACATAACATCGGGGAAAACAATTTTAACGAAAGAATACTTAAAATCTCATGTTAGTGAGTTCGTTGAAATTGAAAAAGAAGGTGGAATTAAGTTCGATCCACTGAATTTCATTTTCAGCTTAGCGAATGCGGGTGTTAGTTTCGCTGAATGGACAACTATACAAAGTGAAATAAATGCAATATGGACGTTTTTGGGGTCAAAAGCGGGAATGGGTGAGCTTGTAAATGCTGCAAGAACATTAGGTGAAACAGGAAATTTTGTAGATGGTTTTAAAAGACTTGTTTCAAATGTTTTAACAAACACAAAGAAATTATTTAGATATACCATACATAACGAAACAATAAGAATTACCGAAAAAGTGACAAAACATCAAAAACAGGGAGGGGTCTCAATTTTTATTACTTATATTATTTTACAATATTTATATAAATACTCTTTATAATATATTTTACTATAAAATTATACCTCAAATTCAAATATTTAAAATATTATTTACATAATTATCTCAAAATTATATTTTTATATATTATTTTTCATATGTAGAAATCATATAATCTATATCTATGCAAATCTCATCTAAAATTTTTTGAAACAAACCGCTACCATTTTATAATGGTCCATCTTAAATTCATCATAAATTCTGGTACATGTTAGTACCAGAGTCTTCAAATCTCAAACACTCTGGTACCAACATGTACCAGACGCGAGTTTCCAATGCCCTCGTACGATTTTCTATTAAGATCTTCTTGAATGAGAAGGTCTTCATAGAAACTCGTACGAGGGCTTCTCTTTTAAATACTCTGGTACCTGCTGGTATCGGAGTCGACTTTACAGCCCTTTCCCCAATTTTGAAGCTGGGGAAAGTTTTCAAGCAATGAAAGGGAAGCTCTCGCTATGAGGTGAAAATCTAGAATTTTTACCTCATAGCGAGTAATCCTTTGTTAATTGCTTGAAAACTTTCTTCAAATTATCAAAATTTCGAGGAAAGTTTCCTTGCTTCAAAGTAGAGATGGAGCCCTTTGAGCCACTGCATATAGGTCAGTGACTCAAAATACTCCATCTCTACTAGAAATCGCCAAAATTTGGGTCACAATCTTTGAAATGCGACGCAAGTTTGGGCAATTTCGCGAGGGACTTGCTCCATTTGGTGCATAGATTCACACTCTATGCACCAGATGGAACAATTCTTTCGCTGACAGCGGGAAACTTTGTCTGAATAGTTTAACATTCAGACAAAGTTTCCCGCTGTCAGAGAGGGAATGGAAGGGTAAGAGGTATATATTCATAATGTATACCTCTTACTCTTCCATTCCCTCAAGAAAGTTCAAAAACTTGTGTGAAATCAGTTCTGATTGCACCCAAGTTTTTGAACTTTATATAAGGAATTGTTGGCTATGATGCACTGATCATGAATCAGTACATCATAGCCAACAATTCCTTCGCAAACAGTGGGAAACTTTGTCTGAATAGTTTAACATTCAGACAAAGTTTCCCGCTGTCAGAGAGGGAATTAGAGGGTGGGAGATATATAGATAGACTATAAATCTCTCACCCTTTAATTCCCTCAAGAAAGTTCAAAAACTTGGGTGCAATCAGAACTGATTGCACCCAAGTTTTTGAATTTTGTATAAGGAATTGTTGGCTATGATGTGGATAGCTGCTGCCAGACCAAATGAATTAACCGTTGTGAATAACGTTTCTGAATCTTTATTTAAAAAGATAAAATATCACGATTTTGGCTGCGTTAAAAATCAAAGAATTGATGTTTTTGTCAAAAATCCTTTTAGAAGAAGTTGCACCCAATTACTTTTATCGTATTAAAAACGATTTACTTCAAACAGGTTTTTATTCCTTCAATTAGAATTCGCGAGCCTCGATTGACAGATTATAAAACAAAATTGAAAAGAGAAGTTCAATCACGTTTATACCAAGTATTAAATTTTGTTCAGAATCAAGAAGCCAATTTGAATCCATTAAGATTTTTATTGGAAAATGCTGAAGAAAAACTTTCTCAAATAAATGAGAAGATACAAATTCAATTACATATTTAAGATCGTTTGAAATTCCAAATGAATTGTTAGATACGTATATGTAAGAAATTAATGAATTTTGTTATAATTCTCCAGATTATATTTTAGAACATTTCGAAGAATTTTTAGAGGATTTCAAAGAAAAGAATAATTTAATAGACTAAAAAATTTATTATTTTTATTTATTGTGAATTTTAAATTGTCACTTTTTAAGTGTTACTCCCTATTGAAAGTGTCACTTTTTGAGTGTCACTTTTTCGGAAATTCTTATATACTCCCATACATAACGGTCAGATTTTCGAACAGGTAGCAACAAAACCTCCGGTTATGGCTGCGTTGATGATGGTTAGAGATATAAAACCACGTAACGACGGGAACGAAGAACATGAACAACAGGATACTGGTCGGGTTATTCGAGACATTAAAACCGTGTATCCTGAAGTTATTGATTTATTTAGAGGAATTAATGATTCAATTTCAAAACATTCTATAACCATCGATGAAGAGAATAAATTAACAGATTATATATTCGTCATTATTGCAGAATTAATGAAGAGAATAAATGAAAAAGGAATTGGTGATATCATTAATGTCAGCGATGTAATGATGAAAAGAAATTTTGACTCATTATTTACAAAACCGAAAACAGAATATAGTCTTTATGACGTAATTACTGAATTAATGAAAAAGATTAATGATAATAAGAGTTCTGGCGGAAGAGTTGAATTAGAAGTGAATGATGTTAATGAGAAATTAGCCGAAAAAGCAGACAAAAATGAGCTTTTAGCTCTGAGTGATAAAGTCAAGAACCACGTTCATTATATAACTTCAGACGAACAGATTATAACGGACTACCATGGATATTTAACACAGGATGAACAAATAAGCACTGAAGATGTTAATGAAAGAAGATATAAATACATTCGTGCTAAAGGTTATGACATAAGCTGTACTGTACAGTATGACACAGGTAAAGCACCAGAAGCATTTGGTTATAACGATGAAATTTATGCTTCATACTTCTTTGTTAACGGCGTATTAGTTGAACCAAGATTTACTTTGAGGGTTAAGGCAAAAATAACTTTTGAAGATGCTATTAAAAGTAAAGCAGACAAAGATGAACTTGACGCAACGAACAAAGTTTTGAAATCTCATAAACACAATATCTCCGATATAAATGAACTTCAAGCTACATTAAATAGTAAAGCTGACAAGAACCATACACATGAATCCTTCACTACTGTTAGAGCAGACGACATAATATTGAACTATACCCTTGGTTCAAGTGCACCTTTAGAGAATCCAAGTACAAGCGTAAAAGATACACTAAACTCCTTAAATAACAAATGTATGAACATTGAAGGTCATGTCAGAAACTTTGAAACATATGAACTACCAGCAATGTTAGATAAAAAAGCAGATAAAGAACATACACATAACTCCTTCTCAACTGTTGCTATAGAAAGTATTGAAGGAACGGTTGACGGAACTGATGGGGATGCATTATATTGTAAACCTCCTAACTTTCCACAAGGTTTAACATCGAATGAAAACATAACAACAAAGAAAAACATTAGATGTAAAAATGTTTATGTCATGAAGGATGAAAATAATATTAAATTCACTGCTCAAGATTTATATGATAAGAAAGCTGACAAAACAGAGCTTCAAACAATGAAGACTGAAATACTTCAAACATTATATCCTACAGGCTCTATTTATACGTCAATGAACTCAACAAATCCAGCAACAGTTCTGGGTTTTGGTGAATGGAAGCAGATTGTAGACAAATTCTTATACTGTGCTAGATATTCAAAGCAAACAGGAGGTTCGAAGAAAATTAAAGAAGCAAACCTTCCACCGCACACTCATACAGGAACGACAAACACAACAGGTAGTCATTCACATTCAATAACAAAAAGAGGTTATACAAATCTTGCAGCAGGTTCGGATAGACAGGGAATGCATAGATATGATATTTCAAGTGACCCAGTAGATTCAAGCGCAGGTATTTTCTGTGGAACCGCAGGAAATCATTCACACACTTTCACAACAAATCCAACAGGCTCGGGTGCAGATTATATGCCACCATTTGTGACTATATTCGCATGGTACCGCGTTCAATGAACGCGCTTGAGCCTTGAATAAAATCTTTAACTTTACATAAATGAGCTTGAAAGAAGTATTCGAACAACATCCATGGAGGTCATTTAAGAAGTTCAATGAAGCTGCAAAGAGTTGGGGATTTACTAACAGAGCTGAAGTGAAAAGGTTCTTTGACAAAAATGTTGTACATCAAACAAAAATAAACCCTTACGACTACTTTTTACCAATTTACTCCAACGCTCCTGACGCATACCAATTTGACACTCTCATTCAAAGCAGAAAAGGAGGACATAAACCATTCCTCATCTTCATTAATGTTAACACTCGTAAAGCATATGCATATCCAATGAAAAATAAAGGAACTCGTGAAGTGTTAAGAGTTTTACAAAAGTTTGTAGCAGAACATAGCCCAAGTACTTTAAACATCAGACCAAGACAGTGCATACCTCAGCAATGAAATCACAGATGTTCTCATTAAGCATAACATAACTCACTACACTACTGAAGACCATAACCATAACATACTCGGCATCATAAACCGCTTCATAAGAACGCTCAGAGATTTAAACAAGAGCGAGACTTTACCGAAGAAACAATGAAACATTTCATCGAAGTTTACAATTCCTCAACACATTCACAACAGGACATACACCAAATTCAATGACACAACAACAAGAAGAAAAGTATATACAAAAGAAACAAAGCCAACACAAAATATCAGAAATTCAACACAATTTACCCTCATTCCTGGTACAAAAGTTCGTGTAGTTCCTGACGACAAACCGTTGACAAAGAAACGTTTAAGGTTAAGTAGAAACTATTATATCGTAGACTCTACGCAAGGTAATGGATATCTTATAAAAGCTGCTGACGACTCTATTGCGTTTTACCCTCGTCACAAATTAGTCGAAAGTAGTAATGGCAAACTTGCTGAAACCATTGACGAAGCAAAGCGAGGAGTGGTTATTGAAATACTTGACTACAACATAAACGATGACACTTATAAAGTAAGATATGAAGGAGGCGTTGAAGATGTTATACCATCTAAGAACTTGAGAGAGTCAAAGCCAACACATCTGGGACCATTAGAGCGGGAGTACTGGAAAGACAAAAATAAGCCAGAAATAATAAGAAAATTCTTCTAAACTTTTTCATTAGATGTAAATCAGACATGAATGAGAACAGTCATGTATTATTAATGGTACCATTTATTTTTGCTGAAAAATGACCAAATTTCATGAATTTCATTAGTTAGAAAAATAACGCTAATTTTTTTCTAAGAAAAATTTTTATTTTGTATGTAAAGACAGTAATGTCAAACATTGAGTTTGAAACAGTTAGAAAGATAGACAATGACACCAAAGTGGTTAGAATTGGTGATTTAAACGTAAGATACTCAAAGAAATACAACAAATATTCTTTGTCAGACATTATATCTCCATCTGGAAAGAAAACAAACGACTGGGTTAGAAATGCTTCAACTCAGAAAATTTTGACAAGAAATCCTGAGCTTATGATATCAGTAGCATTTCATGGAACAAGAGCATATCTTATAGACAAAAGTCTTATACCAATAGTTTTGTTATGGTTAGACCCAGTTGTTGGATATAACTTCATAACATATGGTTCATTCGATACGGAACGTTGCAGTGAAGGCTTACTTTACATTGTTCAGAAACCGAAGGACTTCAACACAAAAAGATATAAGATAGGAAGGACATATAATATAACTCAAAGATATGACTCTACAGTCAATAGAGTCAAGGTTGTGTTTGTTAATGATATGAGAGCTGCTGAAACAGAACTGCTTGAAGTTTTTGAGAAAATGTATGGTGCTCCCACGAAAGGTAAAGAAACGTTTGAAGTAGATGAGATAGATAAAGCTATAAAATTATTTGACGAAGTTGCTGAAAAATACATGTAAAGCGTTTATTTTTGGTCTTTTGTGAAAGTCAGAAAATAACGCTAATTTTTTTCTAACAAAATTTTTATCTTGTATGTAAAGACAGTAATGTCAACATCAGAGAACACAACAACTGCTATCGTTCATGAAGCCATAAATGAAGAATACGAGTACATACAGTATAACAAACAGTTACGTCTCATTCGTTCAGTCAAAGATGACATGTACCAAATGCAAAGTATAATGAACGCTCTTCGTTCTACAAAGCAAGCATATCATTGGTTTGAAAACCAACAGACAAAAGAACTTTTAGAAGAATTTCCTCATATGATTGCTTCCCTCGGAAAACCGAGAGAAGAGATTCCGTATGAAAATCGCAAGAATTTGGCTCCTGGTTTGAAAGGTTATTATGTTCATAGACTTTTAGTAAACGCTGTAGCAATCTGGGCTTCACCTCGTTATGCTTGTTATATTTTCATGATGTTAGATGAACTATATAAAGCAGAACGTGGAGAGATGGAAAAGAAACTTCATGCAAAAGATGAAGTCATTGAATCCAAAGACAAAAGCATACAGAAAAGAATACCACGTTCGGTACCAAAAGGAAAGGAAAAGAGTTATAAGTATATGATTTATACTGAAGAGTTGGAGAAAGAAGAAGATAAAGATATGGTTATGTTGCATTTAGTCAGAAGAAACAACAAGAGCTTTTATGACTTAGCTAAAATATATAAATCTGACAGAAACTGGTTCTATCGTGAAAACTTACCGATTTCAATGACTCCGAATGAACAAATAAAGGAAATTGTCAAAAATACTCTTCCTCAAACACACTATGACATCAAAGGTTGCACAATACTTACATTCAAAGAAGACTTACCATTACTGAAGGAAAAAATAACAGAATATTTCGACAACTTCAAAGAGGAAGAATAAAAAAATCTAAGCTAATTTTATTTTTTTATAAAATTTTATCTCATATGAAAGAACATGAATTTAGAATATTCGGAACTCATGACAGAAGAAGAGAACGAACAACATGTAAAAGATTATGCAAAATTTCTGAAGACATACAAAGCATTTAAACAATATCTAAATGCTTCTAAAGATTATGCAAAATTTCTGAAGGTATATAAAGCTTATGAAAAAGCGTATGAAAAGTTTATACATTGGGGAATTGTTGTAAAATATCGATATGAAGACTAACCAAAAAAATATTTTTGCTTAAATAGCTTCAGGGTCTATTTCTTCAACCATTTCACTTCCTTCGTCAATGTCAATAGAAGCTTCTTCAACCTTTGGTAAGAATTTCTGTATAACATCTTTGTTCGTTATTGTCTTCAGAGATGAAGGATAATATTTCACATTTGTTTCACCCTTCTTATATTCTTTCTGTTCGGAAAGATTTAAAGCAATACTGAAGAAGTCAATGTTAGAGTTCTTTATGACAGTATAATGAGTATCTTTGACATTCACGAAGAAACTCTTTTGTTTCAAAACTACTGCTAACTCTTGTGAAGTATAACGTTTGCGGTCAATGACGATAGCTAATGGTCTGACATACTGACCAAACTTAGATTCTTTCACAAACTTCTTGTTAAAGATAACATTAACATTTGAAGCATTATTGAACTCATTCTTGATGGCAGTAGCGAGAGCATTGTATGAAAAGAACTTGCAATCTTGCATGTGTTTCATTAAAATAAAAATATTAAATTATTTTGAAAAATAACTTAAAAAAATCTAATCTAATTTTTCAAAAAAATATTTTTTTTATTTCCTCCTAAAGATGTACCGGAAGTTGTCTAAGTTAAAACACTCGGAAATAAAACAACTTCTTACAGAAGCTAATATAGATGTTGCAAAGCATTACGCAACAAACAAAAAATCACTCGCTGACATCCTCAATGACTAAAATGGTGCAATAAGTTATGATAGAATTCATGAGTTCATAAAGCCGCAACGCGGCGAGGACGAAGTCCATGGAAGAGCATTTCCTTTAAATGACATTGCTATTGACTTATATCATAGACGTTCAGTACCTCATGAAGTAAGAAGAGAAATGTTTGACATAACAAATGCAAACGTTGGTGAAACAAGAAGAAGAGACGACACACTGAAACAACAGAGAAGAGAGATGTTTAAGAGCGCTATAGAACAAGTTCGCAAAGCTAACGATGTCATTCGTTCCATTGACGACAAACCAAAAGAAGGTGAGAGATGGTTAAAGAAAGATGAAGAGAATAGGAAGAGAAATGTGAAGTCAGGCAATAGACTCATTGACTTTAACATCGAAGCTTTAGATGAACCAAACAGAGACTACTTACACAAACATTTCGGTAAGGTTTTCATGAGACTCTTAGAGAAAATTAAAATAAACTCACAACAGAGATGGATGGTATGTTATAAACTTAGTGGAAAGTATGAATGTTCTACGTTAAACCTCAATAATATTGGAACATTACTACATCAGCTCTTGAAGGAGAACTTTATATCAGAGATAGAAGCAAATGCTGCAGGTATTGTTGAAATGCACTATGACTTCTTCTTGACAAACATAAAGAATCTTACCGAAATAAAGATGTATGATTTAACAGAATATGAAGGCTTAACGATGTCAGATGTAAAGAAAGGCAAACCAAAAAAGAGACCCTATAGAGATGAAAGCACACTGACAAATGACCAGAAAGCCATTTTGGAAGCTCTTAAGCAAACAGGAAACCCAGCACTTATAGAAAGCTTTTGGAAAGATAATGGTGATAAGAAGTTTTATAAGAAGAGAAGCGGTCAGTTCTGGAAGTATCTTTGCACATTACCTATAAATCTTGAACGCTACCAAATCTTCAATGAACTGAACAAAAGAACTGCAACACTTATGACAGAAGACAATTGTTTCGTTTATGCTTGCATTCAGGCTGGAGTAGATGAAGAAACTATTGACCACATGAGAGAAGTCATTCGTGTTAGAGACTTTCCTCAAAGTAAAGTACAAGAAATTTCTGACGCAACAGGTATAGCATTTAATGTTACCATTGGTTATTTCAATGACTCAAGACATAATGAAATAAAGAGATACATACCAAAAGAATGTAAAACTGTTAGAACTATTGACTTACTTCTTGTTGAAGACCACTACATGCTAAATGAAAGATTACCAATGACAACATATTTCATTCGCAACTATATAGAAATTCGCAAAGCTTGTGGTGGAATGAACATTGAGAAACAGATGAAGATTTATACAAAGAGAGAAGATAAATATGTAGTTCGTTATGATAGAACAACACCGTTATGGGATGTTATGAAAACATTGTGGGAGTGCAAATATTTCGAACCTATTTCTTATGGAGAACTTTTCACATATACTACTGACTTATATAAACAGAACCTTGCACCATTTAAAGACTTGTCATATGCTCCAAAGTATTGTGTACAACTGAAGAAGAAAGCAGAGTCAAAAGAAGTAAATAAAAATAAGTGCAAGTTCATTCCTGAGCACGTTTTCTTTGCTGACTTTGAGTGTAGCACAGACGGCTTTCATAAAGCTTTTAACATCTGTTATGACAGTGAAGATGGTTCAGTGAGTGAAAGCATTTGGGGTCAGAACTGTGCAACAGAATTTTTGGAACGACTTCCTGACAAGAGTTTAATATATTTTCATAACCTCAGTTATGATATAAACTTCATCTTAAGACACATGACAGAAGTGAAAGGAACTCCCATCATTAAAGGTTCACGAACAATGCAAATAACTGGCTTATATAAAGGAAGGGCAATTATTATAAAAGACTCTTACAGTGTTATAAATAAGAAGCTTAAACTATTTCCTGCTATGTTTAACTTACAAACAGGACCGAAAGAAGTATTTCCATACAACTACTACAGCAGTGTTTTGTTAGCAAATGACAACAGAACTGGTGTCATTTCTGAAGCATGTAAGTTTATCCGGGATGCAGATACATTCATGAAAAACATAAATTCCATCAAAGGTTGCAGAATAGATGAGAACCACTTCGACTTAGAAAAGTATAGCACATTTTATTGCAAACAAGATGTAAGAATTTTAAGAGAAGGTTTTGTTAAGTTCCGCAATGACATATTGAAAGAATTTGATTTAAACGTTTATGACTACGTTAGTATTTGTTCTATAGCTAACAAATTATTTGAGAACAGAGTGTACATCCCGAATGGAAATTTATATGACCTCTCAAATAAACCAAGAGAATTTATTTCACGCTGTATTCAAGGTGGAAGATGTATGCTGTCAGATAACATGAAACAAAAGAGCGAAAAGAAACTCATTGCTGATTTCGACGCTGTTTCATTATACCCTTCAGCTATAGCAAGACTTTATACTTTAGAAGGTATACCGAAAGTATTGAAGAAAGAAATGTTAAGCACAGAGTATCTCATGAGACATTTATTCGATGACGACCAAAAGGAACCCATTGGTGAAAAGTTTATGTCCGGCTTCTTTGTTCTCATTAAGATAACAGAGATTGGAATACATAGACACTTTCCTTTAATAGTTTCTGACCCTGAACTAAATCCAGAACTTAACGTTCCCAGAAGTTCAAACACTTGCTGTTTAATGTATGTTGACCATATAACATTACAAGACCTCATAAAATATCAAGGTGTCAAATGTGAAGTGTTGCAAGGATACTATTACGATGGAAACAGAGATATTAGAATAAGAGATGAAGTAAAGAAGTTGTTTGAGTTAAGGTTAAAGTATAAGAAAGAAGGAAATCCTTTGCAAGAAAATATAAAGTGTTGTGCATGAAAAATAGCGTGACTTCACTTTTGACAAAAAGTGACACTATTTATGATGGTTTTGTCATTTATTTGTCAGATTTATAAATGGATAATAATGCTGTAAATCAGATATTAATTAAAAATATTTAAGATTTATGTTCGAATTGAAAAGCAAAATGATATTTTTTAATTGAAAAACGTTAATATCTGATATTTTGAAGTTTTTAATATTTGTTAGTATCTTAAATTATTGAATGCATACATTTTTTATGTTCTCAATTTTAAAAAAATTGTGAAGAATTTAGTTTTTTGGAGATGGATGTTTAATATTTGTGAGTGAGAATGCAAGCAGGAGTTTGGTACTTTAAGGCTAGGTTGAGATAGATTTCCCATTATATTATCTGTGAATATATTGTTTGAAAATTCAAGATATAAAAATATATTATCAAAAAATTTTATATTTTTAAATACAATAGGGTGGAAATATAGTACGATGAGATAGCAATGATATATTTTATAATGGGAGGTAATCTGAAGATAAGTAGCAAATTTTATGCGATTTTGATTGGGAGTTGGAGGGTGTGAGTACTATAGCATGTAATAGTATCTCACACCCTCCAATTCTTCCTATGGCGCCGAAAAATTTTTGGTGAAATGCGACGACATTTCACCAAAAATTTTCGGCGCCATATAGAGAACTATAGTCTGCGAGGTACTGATTCTATCTATGTACCTCGCAGACCATAGTTCTCAGCCAAAATGGCTAATAATATGAGAGTCTATATGATAATGTAAAAGTTAAAACATTCAAGTATTTAAGTATTTTCTTTAAAATATTTTTTTTTATTTTTCCAATAAAATTCTAATATCAAATATTTTTATTTAACGATTAATTTTATTTATATTTTTATAGTTTTTTAAGAAAAAATATTGTTAGGGTTTTATGGATTTTCAATTAATATACAAGATAATTCATGAATTTATATATTTCCAAGTTTTTAAGGACGCAACACTTTACATTTGTAAACTGTCAAAAATGAAGTCACGCTATTTTTCATGCATTACATCTATATTTTCAGGTAAATCACATGAAATAACTTTATCTATTTTAGCGCGATCTTCTATGTCAAAGTCAGTCCACAATAATATGTGGCAATGAGGGAGGCCCCTCATTTGATACTCAACTCTCCACAGTATCGCTTTGTCTTCACCGAAAAGCTTTGTTTTCTTAATGTAATCAATTACAGCTGATTTCCTTATTTTAAAAATTCTTGCAAGCAAAGACGAATTGTTAAATTTACTATTTGGATTGGAACAAACCAACTCAATCCAATTAGGATTTTCAGTTAAGGTAATAAAAACAGTCGGGGTTCCATATTCGAGAGAAAGGGTAAAAGCTTGTTTTGAAACATTCCGCCAATATGATGGAGACCCGACCCAACTGGAAGGTATAAAAGATTTAATTCCTTCTTCAGCTTGCTCAGAACCATTTCCAATCTTGGAAATATTACTTTGTTTAATAAAGAATTTTTGAAAATTTATAACTGCCTTTGCTTTTAATGTCATAATTCTACCATAATCAGTTAAAACCTTTTCTGCATTAATTGTGCATTACAGCATAGCTTTAGATTTTTGACTTGGAAGGCTTTGGGTTAATTGCAAGACATTAACCCTAAGTTTTGGAACTTTCTGATAGGAATTGCAGGGTAAGAAGTACATAGTATGAATATGTACCTATTACACTGCAATTCCTTCTTAAAATGGGAGAAATTTTGTCCGAATTTTAAACTATTCGGACAAAGTTTCTCCCATTTTGCGAAGGAATTGGAGGCTATGCGATACTGATGAAATGTCAATAACTCAAGGCCTCTAATTCCTTCCTAAAACTCATAAAAGTGGACCTTACATGCAGTTAAAATTTGACATGTAAAGTCCACTTTTTGTGAGTGGGATTTGATTGCGTCAAATCCCCTTTTTTCGTTTATTATATTTTAACATTATCACCAAAGTCTTGAGTAAATCGATCTAATGTACCACCTGCAACAAAGTTTCTGATATCAATGAATCTCAAATTCGGATACTCTTTCTTATGAACTGTGATTTGTTTATACTGCGAAGAAGAGCCAAGCATTGACAAAATCTTCCATCGTGCAGTATTAAACGCTCTTAAGATTAAATTCAAATCAAACTTGCTTGAATTAAATCCAATCACATTTACATTTGAATATTCGTCTTCAAGTAGTTTTATAATTTTTTCTTCTTGTTCAATTGTTTTCAATTTACTAAAAACTTATATCATACGGAAAAGGTTCCTTAGAAAAAGTGACATTTGGCGCCAAATTTAAAAAGTAATAAAATCATTATTTTATAAAAAGATATATCATTATAAATGTATATTTAATATTAAATCAAAAAAATCTAAGTTTTTACATTTAAATTTAACATTTAAATAAAATAAATAAAATTGATAGAATTGAAGGGTGGGAGGTATATAGGCATACTATATACCTCTCACCCTTCAAGTCTTACCAGAAAGTTCGAAAACTTGGTCGCAATCAGATGCAATTGCAACCAAGTTTTCGAACTTTCTCGAGGGAATGGAAGCCTACAATGCACTGATTATGTATCAGTGCCTGGTAGGCTCCCATTCCCCCTCTAAATGGGAGCAACTTTGCTTGCATAAGATAAAATCCAAACAAAGTTTCTCCTATTTAGAGTTGGAATTGAAGGGTAAGAGGCATATAGTCATACTATATACCTCTCACCCTTCAATTCCAAATAAAACACATCTAAAACAATCATTTTGAATTCTTTTTCCCCCAAATGAACCTTTTTTAATTATTTAATGAATAAAAATTAATATAATCCCTCACATATTATAAATAATTTATTAAAAAGCCTTTCCAATTTTGCCGCGAAAAATAAGAGTAAGTGCCACTTTTTGTCACTTTTTCTAAGGAACCTTTTCCGTACAGAACAAATTTACTAAAAACTTCTTCATATTGATTCATATTTAATTCTTTTACTTCTTTTGCTTTTTCAAATAACCTATCAATCCAATTTATAATGAAATTTTCATCAATAGCATAACAAAAGTTCTTTTTAATATCTCCACACACACTTGAGTCTATGAAAGGTTTTAATACAGCATTTAAAGTAGTTGATTTTGTTATTGATTTCTCCTCTGTTGTCTCTAAAGTTTCAAAGTCAAAGGTAATGTAATGTTTCGTTGATTTATAGTAATTTTGTAATCCATAAGCTAGTAAGAATTGATATATTTTTTGTTTTGTGATATGTGGTGGGGGCACACGGAAATGGTTCTCGAAAAAGTGACAGAAAACCTTATTTTTTGGCGCGAAAATTTGAATACTTAAATTTTAATAATAAAAATTAAATAAAAAATTAATTTATACATTTTTTCACACAATGTGAAAAAAATATAATTTCTTTTCAAATCAAATGATTCAACGATCGTATTTTTTGTTTCTCGTCATAGGAAGAATTGGAGGATGTGAGATACTATTACGTACAATAGTACTCACACCCTCCAATTCCTAGCCAAAATGGCTAAAAATTGGGTACAATGTCAACAATTGAACCAAATTTTTAACCATTCAGCTAAGGAATTGATGTCTTGCGACCACAGCACTATATTCTGTTTCCATGTTACTTCAATTACTTCGCTGAACTTATGAAAACTTCTTGTAATTGCGAACAATTGCAAGAAAATTTACAATTTTCAGCGAGTGAATTGTTTCCTTGCAGACAATGAACCACATTCAGTGCCTTCAAGGCAACAATTCACTCGCTAAGTCTGTGTATTCAGCATTTTTGATTTTTTATAAAAAATATTAAAAATAATAGTCTCATTTCAAAAAAATTGAGAAAAATTATAAAAATTTGATAATAAAAAAATTAAATAGTTTAATAAATAATATTACATCAGAATTTTTCGTCAAAATCCATTAAAAAATTCCCGCGCAAATTGTCACTTTTTGGGGAACCATTTCCGTACGTGATAGTGATATGTGGTGCGTAAGGTTGTTGAGTCGGTTGTAATTGTACATCTTGAATCAACTTACCACCATTCATCTTACAGTTCTCTCAATGTTTCCAAAACCTTGCTTGATTCTTTCTTTCAGGGTCATCAATTAGACTGTAAATTTCTTCTTTGCAATATGGACAAACTCTGAAACCAACTAATCTTTCAACATCTGTGATTGCATCAGTATTTAGTTGACCGTTTTTGTTCTTTGTGAGTAAGAAATTGATAGTTTTATAATTTGGATCAACAATATAACTTTCAACGAGTTCAAAATTTGTAATGCATGAAAATTCGGTTCAATTCATATTTGACACTTTACATATCGGATGTATTATCTAAGAATTATATTTTAAAATAATAATTTTGTGTTTTATAAGTTTATTTGTATAAATTGATTCAAAAAAATGGAAAGACAAGAAGTGGATCTGCCAAATGAAAATCAGATTTATATTACGGCATATCTTGAATATTCTATTGGCAAAAAGACAGCAGACCAAGTTGCAAAAGATTTGCACATAGGTAGAAAAAAATATTATTAAAATGGCAAGAACTTGGTTTAAATCCAAAAAAGCTCGGAAGACCAGAAACTCCTCTTAGAACAGATTTGTTACCAACCATTCACGAAATAAAAACTATGTACAATCTAGG